AAATGTAAACAAGTGAAAAGTTGTGATAGGGCGGCAGTGGGATAAGAGTGTAAAGAGTAGATAGATAGACAATGACAGAAAGAGGAGTTAGGACGGCAGTGGGATAATAGGGTAAAGAGTAGATAGATAGACAATGACAGAAAGAGGAGTGATAGTGTGAAATGAAAAGTTGTGATAGGACGGCAGTGGGATAAGAGGGTAAAGAGTAAATAGATAGACAATGACAGAAAGAGGAGTGATAGTGTAACGTTTCTTGACAGAACGGTTGTCGAGGCATTGACTTCACTTGTCTCTTTGACGAGCTCGTAGCTTGGTGCGGAGAATGGCAAAGCCCACTGATGCTGCCGACTACTACGTTTTAGAATATATAAAGTCCACTGTCAGATGCTGGGAATCATGACAACTAATATGGCAGACGATTTCGGACTAGGTGCGTTCTACATAGTCGTCCTGACAATAAGACCAAGTTGCGACAACGAGGTCAACCCATAACCGATGGGATGTTTGAAAATTTGGCTTTTCTCTATATTGCTTTGAAAATCACATCTGCGTATTAATCAATTGGCACTCGCGACTGTGGCGTTAAATTAAAATGCGCGGCACAATTTATGCCCCATATAGGTTTTAAAGCCCGTTTATTGTCTAGATGCTAAAGTCCGATGATACTTATGACTGCTGAATTATGAAAAAAAAACGTTTCACCGTCCTGCATTATCAATGAGTCTGTGATATTACGCAAGCCGTTAGAGTTAGAAACCACTTTAAGCTAAATTAGGAATCCCTCCCTCATTTAGCCTTGGCACTTTTTAGTGGGAATAACAATTTCACCTGAAAAACCATACAAAATTAAATAGGAAATCCCAGTTACTGCAGGCCATAAGATTGTGCGGATTACGTTACAGGCACACATCTATCCACAAAAGCTGTCGATATACAAAAATCGCTTAAGTGTAGAATAGCAAAACTTAACGAAGCTCATCAATACATGCATGCTTAATACGCAATATACATAGGCGCAAGCAAATACACATGAACGTGTATGTTGAATTGTGCAAAGAAGACCTC